CAATATACTGATGGTGCTGATTTTGGTGGGTCCCCCCAGCCTACTACGTCACCCAATATACTAATGGTGCTGATTTTGTTCCCTAAACCCTAAACCCTGGGCCCCCCCAGCCTAATACGTCACCCAATATTCAGGTATGCAAGCCCTCAACCCAGGAGGCAGGGTCCCCCGAGAAAGGGACCATACTTTTGCCCCACACCGGCCAGGACCTCGATAGGGAAAAGCCCAAGGTACGGCCAGGTAATAGGGGTTAAAATGTTCAGGGTCTAGGAGTCAGGGTTTCAAGGTTTGAGGCTTCATTAGGCCGTTTAATATGACCCTACTACAAGTTTTAAGACCTATCCTAGTCAACAGTCTTAGTGCCCTAAACCCTAAACCCTATAAGCTACCAAATTCAAAGGAACACACTAGGCTCCCGAGAATGCCCCAGAGTTTAGTGGGCTGGCTGCTGTTAAGCAACGTAGTTTACGTTATATACCCAAGTACTATATGCGATTTAGGGTCTTGGGGTCAAGGCGTTTTGTAAAGAACAGGGCGCCTTATTTAGAACACCCCAAACCCTTAACCCTTCATTCCAACAGTAACCAGTTTAAGCTGCAGGCTTTAGGGTAAACACGAAATGTAGCATCGTCACACGTCTGCAGAATATGAAGTTTACAAACCTGTCCGCCATAAACAAGGGTTTCGGATAGGGGTTCAGGGTTTAGGGTTTAGGGTTGAAAGTTTAGGCTTTAGGTTTATTTGGTTCAGGGTTTAGTGTGCAGAGTTTAGGGTTTAGGGTTCAAGGCTTCAAATTCCCTAAACCCTAAACCCTAAACCTTAAATCCTACACCCTAAACCCCTCCAGAGTATGCCGAGAACCCCGCAGGTGTCGTGTGGGAGGAAGCCATGATCCTGCTTCCGGACTCGGTCCGTTTGGTCTTCCTTTCTGCGACCATCCCGAACGCCCGGGAGTTCGCCGAGTGGATTCTCAGACCCTATGTGAGTAGCATTTTCCTTTTGGGAAGCTATAGTAGTTATAGACTTCAATATAGAGGGAGATTGGGGATATATGATTTCATATAGAGAAGAAGCTGCAATCTTATGGATTCAACCACAAAAAAACAGTCAGGGTGTATATCCTAGGGACCCCTAGGCCGTGATATACGGATTGTGGGGATCCGGACCGGCATCATCTAAATTGTTTTTCTGGAAGTACCCAGTGGAAGTACATTCGAGCGCAGGGTTTTTGATTCTGGGTTTAAAATTTAGGGTTTTGGATTTGGGGATGTAGGTTTAAAGTTTAGGCGTTGGGGCTGAGTCTTCGGATTTGGGAGAACAAGCGGGCAGTGGATGTACTAGCAAGAAACTGGCACATCTCAAAGATTGAAGATCCAGTGCGAGGGCTCTGCACTGGCTCACCCCTTACGGTACACGCGGTCTAATCTCTTCTCCTCAGTGCTGATTGCCTTCCCAGGAAATTACTAGTTTCCACAACATATTTCAACGACCATAGGCAATCTTCAAATGCATGGGGCAGGCGGGGCTGAAGGCTCTTTCTAATCTGCATCAGAAAAATGTTTGAAACCAATTTTATAGGTCCGCCATGTACAGTATCAGGCCCTATTTACCAAGGATCTCCTAGTTTGGGCAAGTGATTTGAGAGTTTCCCGAAATTAGGGGTACCTTTGTGTTGGTTCCTGTAGTTAGGGGTTATAGCATTATGAAGTCTATATTGAGGTCCTCCTTTCTTAGGGAAACTCCCATTTCTGAGGATCTGCCGAATCAAGCATCAGCCCTGCCACGTCATCTACACGGATAAGCGGCCTGTCCCCTTGCAGCACTACCTCTTTCCGTCCGGCGGCGACGGAGTGTACCTGGGTCTTGCTTGGGATGTGTTTATACGTCTTGCCAGTACTCTGGGAGGGGCACATTTTGATTACCGAATTCAATTCCCTGCTTTGAGAGTAGCTTATAGAATTTCATGATGGCGCCATTGTATCGAAGGCCCTAAACCCTGAATGCCCTACAGGCCCACATGGAAACCACTTGGAGGCCCGAAGTAACCGTAGATAACTTATAACTTTGTAGCCCAGCACCCTAAACCCTAAAGCCTATAGCCCCAATAGAACCATATTTGCGGAACTTAGGAAAGGGTCTAGGTGTTCAGGGTTCATGCATTTAGGGGTTAGTGGTCTTAGGCCAAACTAAGCGGGTGCCCCTTCGAAAGAGTCATATGCAGTTTGGCTTGTGAAACATGAACACGCTGCTTGTAAGTGTCTGCCCGACGTTGGTTGTCACGACCGGCTGTGCCATAATGTGTATCTCGTTCCAGTGATTGCTCTTGCTGTCGTCCCAGAAGAGCGAATAAGGCCTGAGCCCGAACCTCGAAAAACAAAACCCTGACCGCTAAACCAAAACCCCCAATCTTCAGAGCCTGAAACCTGAACCCTAACGCCTAAACTCTGAACCATTCAAACCCTCACCCAAAAAACCCAGCCCTAAAATCAGGCCCGCACAAAACAATGGTTGTGAGGATTACCTCCTGAATTCTTAACCCTAAAGCCTAATGAATCCTAACCTTATAAGACCTAGAATTCAAGCCAGACCTGCCCTGAACTCTAAACCCTAAGCCTTAAGCCCTTGAACCAACCCTACATCACGCCAAGGTACATGGTGGTGGACGAGAATCATTGCCCGCAATTCATTCGTGGGTTCCACTAGCACCCCCTATGTGCCCCAACTGGGGGGGACGTGCATATAGGGCTTAGGGGCTTGACGTAGGGTATGGTACAGGTCAATTGTGCCGGACATCCAGTGAAGCAGCGGGACCCTAAAACCCTAAAGCCTCAACCCTACTAGGCGCTGGGCTGCGCGACTTGGCGGGCAGGCTGATTCCAAGAACCATGAGGTTTCTATAGCTCGGAGGTCCGGGGCAAGTCCAATCTACTTCACCAAAGGCTCCAGGTAGCTATATAGTATATACTTAGGGCCCAAAGGGGTTCCCATAACACTACTTCAAAGCACATGTATATACCATATAGCTACATGGAGTCTTTGGGTGTAATTGTGCCTAATGTACCAATGTATCCTGGGTGAGGTACAATCTACTTAGTAGCTGTACGTATACCAATTGTAATTATATCTTGCGCGCCTGTATTTAGGGCATATCCAACTGGCTATAGCTGTTTTAACTACTGTACCTTGGGCCTCCAGTTACCGGCTTTTGGACCTGCACACTTGATTCAAGCTTCAAAACCTCGATGGGCTTGGCGCGTAAAACACTCTTCCTCGCCCCACTTGGCGGATCATGCGGACTATTAGCAGGTAGGTTCATGGCCCCTACAGGCCACATATTGACCCTAAATATCCATAAACCCTAAACCCCTAAACCCTAAACTCTGTCTTAAGCCGCTTACGAAGTCCTCATGACCCTCCAAGCAAGAGTTGTGAGGACCTAGGGTTGGGTGAGTTCATGGCCCAGGGTTTATAGTCCCCCTTAAGTAGATAGAATATGGGGTATATGGGGATCTTATAATAATATACTCAAAGCCATATTCTGTCTGCGGGGGCTATACATTGATTCTTTCGTTTTTGTCGGCTCAGGAAGGGTCAGTTCCGGGAGGACAACTTCCACAAGGCCGTGTCGCGCTTGCACGGCCTGAGGTTTCAGAGCTTCCAGCTCATGGGAGTAGGTTTAGGGTTCAGGTGGAAGAGTTCAGGGTCCATGGTACATAGCCAACATTTCATGGTTTTTCTTTTGAAAGGTTCCCACAGCATATCATAAGCGTGATTGGATGATAGAACAGAGGAGGGCACGTATAAGAAATCCTGCTTGGCCTCAGTATGCTACTACAGTACCACAATTCTCGAGGTTCAGGGTCCCTAAGCCCTAAACCCCAAGCCTTGAAACGTATAGTCTCCCTTAAGTAGTAGATAGACGATGGGGTATGTGGGGATCTTCTTAACACGTACTCAAAGCCATATTCTGTTTAATCCCTAGCCCTAAGCCCTGAACCGCATCATGCAAGATTTGAAGCATGCACTCTTGCGGGCGTTTTGCAATATCTACAAGGCCTCTAACTAGCTTGAGGTTGTGACTTCAGGATGGCTAGGGAGGGACAATATGAGGGTTTTCCAAGAATTAGGGGTACCTTGTTGGAGGTCCCCATACTGAGGACGATAGTATATTGAGGTCTATATTGGGGTCCCCTGATTTTGGGAAACTACCACATGGGGACGACCTGAGAGCAATGTTACCCTAAACCCTAAACCCCCTAAACTGTGCTTTAGGGTTTAGGGTTCACGGTTGGTGTTATATGGAACTGAGATATGGGGCACAAGCTAGGAATTCCTCGAAAAAGCGCCTGCCAGATTCTGAAGACTGTTGTTGTTGGTCTGACTAGCAGCTTTAAGGGCACTAAGCCACATGGCTTAGGGTTCAGGACCCCAAAACCTTAATCCCTAGTCAGAGAACCCTACCTAGGGAATCCAAAACCCTGAAATAATGGGGCTCTGGGACAAAACCGGGTTTTTAAGGCCAAAGACGGGTTTTTCCAGACACTCTACATCGGAACATTTTCGGCTGTTGTCCTGGTACCCGATTCAAGGAGTTCAACATGCCACTTGATTACGGATACATACGGGGTTCGCACGGGTTAAATATGGAGTTCGCACAGGTTCGGGAAAACCGGGATTTCCCGAATTCCATCGGGATTTATGGGTATTTTATGGGTTAAATATGGGGTTCGCACGGGGTAAATATGGGGTTCGCACGGGTTCGGGAAAACCGGGTTTTCCCAAGCCATCTCGGATTTATGGGTTTTTATGGGTTAAGTATGGGGTTCGTATGGGTTAAATATAGGTTCTCGGGAAAAGCAGCTGAAAACCTACTTTTTCCGCAGCGCAATGCGAAAAAAGCTCAGTTCTTGCGCTGGGGATAGGATGAAGTATTGAGAAGCAGGGTTTCTGGGAATAACCGGGTTTTTTAGCTGAGAACCGGGTTTTACTCGAAGCGTGGCTTCAAAGACGGGTTTTGTACAAAGAGTTTTTTTTTGGGGGGGTTTTGGGTTCCCTAGGTAACCCCCAATCAGGGTTCAGGGTGTGGGAAAACTTCCCTCCAAATGAACCCCCCCCCCTCCCCCCCCGCCCCCGATGTAACAAGATCACGCAGGATGGTACTGTTGTGTAATTATCAGGATCATAGTTACCTGTGGGTGGAGCTTAAATGGGCCCCAAACCCTCAGGCCACAAACCCAAGCCTTAACGGTTTAGGGGTTAGCTGTTTAGGGGTTAGGGATGCCTTGAATCTGCAACCCTTAATTCGCCGAGGCTATCCAGCCTCGTGTTTGGGTATGCAAGAAAAAGCCACCCCTCCCACTGCGACATGGTAGTCCGCCTTCTTCTCTGCTTAGGAAGAATTGCACTTGGGGACTTACAAAGTTCTACCGTTCTGGCATGCAACAAACACTGAGGCTTGCCTCCATTCCCTCGACCCTAAACCCCGCATGTCAACTATAGACTATATGGCATGACCTATTCGCGTACTTCGCGCCCCGCCAGCGGAGGCGGGCGCGCGATAGCGTTTATAATGAAACCTCACACCCCGAACCCTAAACCCTAACAACGCCTACGCGCCAAGCACTGTATTCAGTCGCAGGCTCTCAGAATACTCCTACACAGAGCCTGCCACTTCTCTGGGAGGAGTTTGGGTTCGCAAGCGCCTGTTTTCTGAGGGCCCAGGAGCCTCAGCCCCGCTATGAATCTTAAAGCCCTGATCCGCTAAAGCCCTGAGCCCTGGAACCCTAAACCCTGAACCCTTTGAAACCCCACAGCCCCTAAAACCCTCGACATTGAAGTGTCAACCTTTAACCTTCGCACCTCCTTCTAAACCCCCCGTCAGCGCGGTCTTTGGAACCCTAAACCGTCTATGAACCCTATGAGCCTGCAACCAGTACAGCCCTTGTACATCTCTCGTAAACCCCAAACCCCAAACCAGAACGAGACCCTTAAACCTTAAGCCAAACCTTAAACGTCCAGGCCTTAAATCCCCCAAAACGTAAGCTTTAAAACGTAAAAGATCCTTATAATTAATGTCTAAGTCCTAGGCCCTGAAGCGCTACCTAAACCCCCAGAGTATGTAAAATAATGGCCCTAA